TCTAATTATCTCATTCAAACACTTTCATTTCTATCTATGCTTTCTACTTATCTCTCAACTCAAAAATGCTAGATGAACAGTTAATTAGAATCAAATAGTCTGTGTATAATTAATGAATGACTGGAAGCCAAGTGTGGAAGATCCACACATGCAGATGAATGACCTCATCAGGAACCACTGCTTCCAGTTATGACCTTAAAAAACCACATGTAAAACCTGCTTTTGCAAGGTTAACTGTGAGTTCATTAGTTTCCATGGGGCATTCCATTAGGTTTGGTCTGAGTTACTGGTCTCCAAAGGGAGATGTACAAGATGATCCATTGGACAACAGATAAAAACAGAGCCATGTTCACATGTATTCTATGTTACATTCTTTAATTTTCTACTTTAGCACATCTTTTCAGCATATTTAAGTACTCATGCACTGCTACATAACAAATAATAAATAATTTATATGCACATATGTGCATTGTGGATTCATGCTAAATTTCTTAAGCTAATGGAAGGATCCATTTAAAAATATAGATATTATTGCTTTTCTACTACTGATAACTTAGAGAATAATTGTCACTAGAAATCTATGAAGTATGAATGGTACATGACTTTGACCTAACACTTGGCCTAAGCATAGACACATTCGTCAAGACAAATCCTGGGAAGGTAAAGAGAACCCCAAATTTTGGAGAGGCTAGGATGCAGAGGACTGGCCTAGGAAAAGTGACTGAACCAAAAGGTTGAGATCATCTGGAAAAGCAAGAATCCAGGGTATGCTGGGATATAAGAACTGGGTAATGTGTTGTGAAACATCTACAGATATGATCTAGCAGAGTCAAGGTAGAAAGAACTTAGGGAGTCTGGAACACCTGAGAAGAAACTGAGAGGTGAGAGCCTAGGATTCTCTCAGGGGCTCAAATTTAACATGTCCATGAGTCATAAGTCTATCATCTTAGCCAGTAATCTAGTGAGCAGGGACTTGCAGCAATGAGACACAAGACAGACAAGTTTCAATGGAGTAACAGAACATGGTCTTGCTAGCATGGGGGTATGGATGCTACTCCTAGAAGCTTGAAGGAAATAGCCAAAGGTAGGATTGGAGCACCCTAGAATCAACTTTCCCCCATAGTTTTGCAGAGTCAATTCTCTCTGAATTAAATACCTAATCTATTTTAATTCTGGCATGCATAGATGAATATTCTATGTTGAAGGGCTATCCTTAAGATTCAGTTTTTTCTGTCTCCCCTCAATGAGAATCAACCTGCAAGAAGCAAAATAAAATTGGAAAAAAAAAACAAATTAGAGGCATGTTAGTGTGAATTCTGAATTAGGGGGCACAAAGTTTATAGAAACAAGAAATAACGTTCTTTTCTGCATATTTGAAATTGTTTAGTTCCATATCAGGTTTAAAATATCCATTTTCCAATAGATTCTATAGGTAAGATGTACATTACTACTACCATGGCCCTAATTCATCCATGTCCAGTGGAAAAATCTGTAGGTCTTACTGAGAATGCAAAAAATAGCAGAGACTGTCAGCTGACCAGAGAAGGTGGTTAGCATTGGCATCACTGTGAGTTCCAGATGAATTCCAGTACAGGTGGCCCTCAAAGATACAGTGAGAAGAAGACAGAGGTGAGCATGAAAATCTCTCGCAGCGTGGACTTTGTAGCCTTGCCCACTCCACCCCACAAAAACAAGACAGTGAAAGGAAGCTTTCTCATGGAAGGAAGACTGCACCCTCATTACAACAAGGAATGTGTGCGCATGTTCTCTTCATCCAGGATATGAGCAGCTGAAAGTCAACCTTTGTTTCTGAAAGACTCTTTCCAAATGTCTGAGGCTCTCTCTGAATTCCAACTGAAAGTGTCCCATCTTTGTGGAAAATATGTTCTCTCACCTCAAAAGTTTGACAAGATCAAGTAACCAGAGCTATTTAAACATCCTACTTGGATAACACCTTACAAGACAGTTAACAAATCCAGCTTGTTTAGATTCCCTCTCCATCCTCACCTACACACACACACACACACACACACCCCAAAAGCCAGGAAAATTCATCCTTCTCCCTAGGCCACCCCTCCTTACCATCTGAATGCCAAGTTGACTTGGAGTCAACTTCTATGTTTGGGATTTTTACCTCCTTGCTTAATCCCAGAACAGCTGCCTCTCAGTGGTCAAGCTAAATCCACTTAGCTTGTGTCTGATGTGTGGATCTTCTGGGGTGGAAAAGTCTTTTTAAAGAATTCTCACTCTGTGGGACAACTGATAATAATGAGAAAAACTAGTGGGCATTCATAAGCTGTTATAAGGCACAGTTCCTGTTCTATGCAATATTCATTTATGCAAACTGTTGTAAAGGTACCAAATTCACTGTGCAACTGGGCTGGAAAAGTCCCTGAACTCAAGATTATGTTGGTATGCACATTTCTGAGGCTTGGTTCTGTTTAACATTTTCATCAGTGACCTGCTTAAAGGAGCAGAGAGCAATCTCATTAAGTTCCTAGATGGGAGAGATGACCAGAACATTAGAGAACAGGATTAGAATTTCCCTAGCCCTTGCCAAATTAGCGAAACTGTCAGAGTCAAATATGTTCACCAGGGACAGGCAGAAAAAAGTGAGCTGCCTAAATGCAAGGCGAAGAGCAGAAAGTTATTTAGGAATAGAAATGAAAGGAATATAGATGCAAGAATAGTCTCACAGTGGGAAGTGAATGAGCTTTGTGGAACCTGGAGATTCACTGTGGCCTCTGCACCCCCTTAAAATGAATTCAGGTCTTCAACCCATGCCCTCCCCAAGATTTCTAAGAGCAGCAGAGCTTTTCTTCCTCATGAGTACATCCAGCTTTGGATTCCTTGTTCCACTAATTAGCCTGGTTTGGGGTTCTTCTCACTGGCCTGTTTTAGTTATCTTATTCCAAGCCTTGTTAACTCAGACATTAAAAATTACTTCCCTCCCATGAGGAAATCATGGCCTTCTGTGGTAGGGCTCTTCTGCCGCCTTAGTTATCTTGCCTCTCATTCAATTCTTCTAATTAAACTTCTACTCCAAGTGGCTTAACATGATGTTTTCCTAAATATAAATGATTCTCTCTCCAAAAGGAATTCTGGGATCAGTTGCTCAGGTACTTGTATGTACACTTGTGTCCCTTTACAAAGATGAGCATGACAAAGTCACGAGTTGCTAGTGCTGTAGTCACTCTATAGGCCTGCAAAGAGTAGATTTTTTTCAGGCTTTGTTGCAAGTACTCAACTCTGATACTACAGCATCAAAGCATTCATTCACAAGGCATAAATGAATAGGCAAGGCTGGATTCAGCTTGGAGTTGGGCCATAATTAGCCAACTCCTGCTAGACTCGATTTCAGAATCTTTGACTTTTGAGGAGTCTGAAACAACCATATTGTCCAACCAGCTCTATACCTACAGTAGCCAGGATCCAGAGAGTTGTGGTGTTTATGCAAATTCAAAAGACAGGTAAGCCTGGGTTAAGACTTCAAACTAGAAATAAGTAGCTAGTTTCCCTTCTACATCATGAAGCTATTTCTAGAACATTCTGAGGATCCCTGCTTAATTCACAAAGCCTCTTGTATAAATGTTTCCTCTGTTATTTTGGGGCAATGTATTTGTTGTATTATGTCTGACACATAATAGTGTCACCTTGCAACATCCCTAGCAGGATCCAAGATGAACGAGTGATCAAAAGCTTGGGTGTGGCTGTCTAAACCCCCACTTCAGGAGGCAGCCTTTGAGAAAATCAAAATAGATCAAAATAGAGTCCAATTCCTGTTAGAAATGAACGTTATATGTAGTCAGTGCTGTGGCAATTCCAGCATCCTATATGGGCACTAGTTCAAGCCCTGGCTGCTCTACTTCTGATCCAGCTACCTGCTAATGCACCTGGGAAAACAGAAGAAACAGTGGGCCCTTACATTCATGTGGGAGACCCAGAATAAGCTCCTGGCTCCAATCTGGCTCAGCTCCAGCCATTGCAACCATTTGGAGAGTGAATGAGTGGATGGAATCTCTCTCTCTCTCTCTCTTTCTCTGTCTCTTCCTCTCTCTCTCTAATTCTGCCTTTCAAATAAAAGACATAAATCTTTCTTCAAAAAAAATGAACATTACTTGCAAAATTCAAAGGGTGATATAAAATCTCATGTACCAAGACAAAGGCTTTCAAAAGAAGCTTGTTTTTCACCTGTTATTAAAATGAAAAGAGCAGGCCTGGAGTGTAGGTCAGGTCATAGGAAGACTCTGTCCCAGATAACTGATTCTTGGAAGCACTGCAGACCAGAAGTCAGAGGATTCCACTGATTGTTAGATCTAAGGGCTGCACCTGCCAGGGATTGTTAGGAGGGAGAGAAATGGGCTGAGATGGCAAGTCTCTCTCCTTAAGTTCCCTGAAAGCTATAGAAAAGTACGCTTCTCTGAGCCAATAGGGACACTTGGAATCATTATACTTAACGAGAACAGCACAGTTGCTTTAAGAGGATTGTGAAGTGAAGAGCATGAGGTAGGTACTCGTATTGTAAAAAATGATTGTCTGGATTTCAAAAGCACCTCCCATAGAACACTCCTTCCCGTTCACAGACCTTGGGGGAAACCCATGGAAAACCTACCGTTAGGGTCAGAAGCGTGTAGCTCCTTGCAGATGTCTCCGTGTGGAAATGCTCGGCGTGACTACATTAGGAGAACCAGGAGGCTCCTGACGTGGGTGGTTGTTGATCTGTAATTTGAAGACCCAGTAGCTGGGCTTATTCCTCCTGAAGCTTAGAGCCAAGTATTTATGAGAACTCTTATTTTACTACCTCTGATAAATCACAGTGTACATTTTGTTACCAATTAAGAAATGGTGCGGTCTGTTCAAATGTCATTTCTGGACAGTACATTTCTTGAAACTATCCCAGATGATTATTCTTCTCAAGTCACAACTTTTCCAAAGTCCATTTTTCTGAGCGACCAACTCCCGGTGATTGCTATTTTTCATTGTTGTCATTTTTTTTCCAGATGATCCAGGAACCTGTATATCATGTGCTACTGGTTATTACATGTAAGTCTGGCCCTTATTTTTTGTGGCACTAGCTTTTCTGTCACTTAAAGCATTACTGATTTAATCCTAAATCCAGTGATTAGAGCAAAGAGGCCTTACAGCCTGAAGCAACTCTGTCCTGTCAGGCTATTAATGAACACTTCTTGGATTTAGCAGTAAGAGTCCAGCTGTTTTCTTGCCTCGAAAGGAGGCCTTCTCTTTCCTGACCCTGGAAGTCGTCCAGTCTGACACTGGTGTCTAGGAATCTTGCCATGGGTTACCAAGATTCAGACCCTGCTGTTTACGGACAGACCTTAATAATACACCCAACCTCGAGCAAGCTGCTTCCAAATGTCTGCATGAGACCTTGTCCTTACCCAGAGTCACATGCTCCAGGGTGAAGTCAGGGGCTACCCCCTGGGTCATGAGGGACACAGACCACAAGGTTAATTGAAACACAGATAACCATCACCCCTAATGTTTGCCAGTAAAACTCAACAAAATCAATGATGGCATGTTTCAACACTACCTCCCTTCCCACTCTAGTCTCCCTTCCAGTGCACATTGTTGCTTATGGGAGAAAGAAAACTGAGAAAAGAAGGGAGATGACGGGGGCTGGCGCTGTGATGTAGTGGATGAAGCCACCGCCTGCGGGGCTGGCATCCCATGTGAGCGCCTGTTCGGGTCCAGCTGCTCTACTTCTGATCCAGCTTTCTACTATGGCCTGGGAGGGCAGTGGAAGATGACCCAAGTCCTTGAGCCCCTGCACCCACATGGGAGACCCAGAAGAAACTCCTGGGCTCCTGGCTTCCGATCAGTGCAGCTCCTGCAGTTGTGGCCAACTGGAGAGTGAACCAGCGGATGGAAGACCTCTCTCTCTCTGCCTCTGCTTCATAAAAACCCTCTGAGAAACAAGTGCACTGAAAGACCAATCTCCAGTCTCACAATAATGAGGCATTTGTTTCAAGAAATATGCATTAGAGGGCTGGTATTGTGGTGCAGCAGGTTAGGCCACCACCTGGGACTCCTGCCTCCCATATCACAGTGCCAGTTCAAGTTGTGGCTACACCACATCCAATCCAACTTCCTGCTGATGCGTCCTTGGAGGTGATGGTTTTAGTACATGGATCCCTGCCTCCCATGTGGGAGACCTGGATGGAGTTTGGCCTCCTGACTTCAGCCTGGCCCAGCCCTGGCTGTTGCAGGCATTTGGAGAATAAACCAGCAGTCAGAAGATCTCTCTCTCTCTCTCTCTCTCTCTCTCTCTCTCTCTCTTTCTCTCTCTTGCTCTGCCTCCCAAGTAGATGAACATAAAGAAATAAACATTAAATTTTTTTTGACAGGCAGAGTTAGACAGTGAGAGAGAGAGACAGAGAGAAAGGTCTTCCTTTTCCGTTGGTTCATCCCCCAAATGGCTGCTATTGCTGGCGCACTGCGCCAATCTGAAGCCAGGAGCCAGGTGCTTCCTCCTGGTCTCCCATGCAGGTGCAGGGCCCAAGCACTTGGGCCCAACTCCATTGCCATCCAGGGCCACAGCAGAGAGCTGGACTGGAAGAGAAGCAACCAGGACAGAAGAGGCACCCCATTCAGGACTAGAACTCGGGCTGCCAGCACCACAGGCAGAGGATTAGCCTAGTGAGCTGCAGCGCCGGCCCAAACATTAAATTTTTTAAAGTCGACAGAAAAAAACTTATAAAAAAGAAACATGCATTTCTAAACTTTCAGAATATTTAATAACTTTGAATATAACTAATGAAATGGTGGATAGTAGCTGTTATTAAGGAAGAAATGCAGATATTTCCACTATACCTCGCTGGCACCTTGAAATTTACCAAAGGTTAAGGGTCAGTCTCATTCCACTCCCCCTTTGGATGAGTCCACAGTTCAGTGGAGTCTAGATTACATAATTTTACTGCATAGTGAGGATAATGTTTAATATACGTAAAAGCTGTCTTCATAAAAGCTGAGGTACTTTGCTTTTACAGTTTAATCTAGTCACAGACCTCTTGGTAAGCCACTTGAACTCAACACTGAGCTGTTTCAAGCTCTCTAAGTGTCAGCTGCCGTGCAGCAAATCACATAAGCTATCTGTTCAAACAGATGTTGGTTACAGTCCCAGCCCCATCTCCAACTAGCTCTGTGATTTTGATCACTGAATATTGAACTCCGGTTCCCTTATCTGGAAATTAAAGATAATATGTGCCATATGGGAGCTGCAAACACTTAATTGAGCTCATGCTTAACACAGTCAGGACTACACAAATATCTCAGGACTCCTTTCCTTCTCTCTAGGCCCCTCCCAGCTTTGCTTTTTTTTTTTTTTTTTTTTGCCTCAGATTTATTTATTTATTTGAAGGCAGAGTTACACAGAGAGAAAGAGAGGCAGAGAGAGAGAGAGAGAGAGAGAGAGGTCTTCCATCTGCTGGTTCACTCCCCAATTGACCTCAATGGTCAGAGCTGTGCCAATCCAAAGCCAGGAGCCAGCAGCTTCTTCTGGGTCTCCCACGAAGGGTGCAGGGGTCCAAGGACTGGGGCCATCTTCTACTGCTTTCCTAGGCCATAGCAGGGAGCTGGATCAGAAGAGGAGCAGCTGGGACTAGAACCAGCGCCCATATGGGATGCCAGCTCTGCAGGCGGCGGCTTTACCGGCTATGTCACAGTGCCAGCCCCACCTCCCAGCTTTTCTGATAGAGGATCATCAGAGGTTCTGAAAGAAGAGAGTTACTGACCCAGTTTGGGGGTGCACAAATGACCAAAAGCAAGTTTCTTCTTTTGAAATCCAATTATCGGGCTGGCACTGTGGCATAGCAGGTGGAGCCATCGCCTGCAGTGCCTGCATCCATATGGGCACCGGTTCGAGTCCCAGCTGTTCCACTTTCAATCCAGCTCTCCGCAATGGATTGGGAAAGCAGCAGAGGATGGCCCAAGTCCTTGGGCTCCTGCACCCACATGGGAGAACTGGAAGAAGCTCCTGGCTCCTGGCTGCTGGCTTCAGATTGGCACAGCTCTGGCCATTGTAGCCATCTGTGGAGTGAACCAGCAGATGGACGACTTCTCTCTCTCTCTCTCTCTCTCTCTGCCTCTGCCTCTGCCTCTCTGTAACTCTGCCTTTCAAATAAATAAATCTTTTTAAAAATCCAATTATCTACTCTTGATTAAAAAAAAAAAAGCACACCAGGGCAGGCCTTCGGGCAGGGGAGACAAGAGGCCAGCTACGATGCCTGCATCTCATGTTAGAGTGCCTGGGCTTCGTAGCCAGATCCAGCTCCTGATCTCAACTTTCTGCTAATACAAACCGTAGGAGGCAGCAGAGAATGGCTCAAGTATTTGGGTTCCTGTCACCCACATGGGAGACCTGGATTGAGCTCCTGTTTCCTGGTTTTGGTTCCGGCACAGCCCTGACTGTTGCAGGCATCGGGGAAGTGAAGCGGGGATAGGAGTGCTCCCTCTCCTCTCTCTCATTAAAAAAAGAAAAGGAAAGTGGGGAGCAGATATTTGGCACAGTGGCTAAGAGGCTGCTTGGGACACCTTGGTTCCATATCAGAGTGTCTGGGTTCTCAGGCTGGTTCTGCTTCCAGTGCCAGCTTCATGCTAATGTGTAGCCTGGGATGCAACAGACGATGGCTCAAGTACTTGGGCCCCTGCCACCCATGTGGTAGACTTAAGTTCCTGGCTCCCAGCTTCAACCTGGCCCCGTCTAGGCAGTTACTGGCATTTGAGGAGTGCATCAGTAGATGGAAAATCTCTCTCTTTCTCTCTCTCTCTCTCTCATGAAAATAATTACAAAGTTTTAAAAATATTGCATCAACATGTATGAAGAGGTTAAATTATGGTGGTTAGGGGAAGTACATCAATGCAGCTCACAGATGAAGATCTGTATTTTTCCCCTAGGTTTGAGCACCATTGTTATAAAACCTGTCCTGAGAAGACCTACAGAGAAGAATCAGAATGCAAAGCATGCGACACTCACTGTGGCAGCTGTGACCAGCGTGCATGCTACTGGTGTGAGGAGGGCTTCTTTCTCTTCGGTGAGTTAGAAGATGGCTTTGCATTCAGGGAGAGGCTCAGGAGCTCCCGTCAGTGCAATGGGCGCGCTCCCATGATTGGCTTCAGGGTCTTCCCCAGCTGGGGCCTCTGCTCCAAGGAGGACGGCTAATATAGTTTAAAAATAAACATTAGCCATGGCCACTTCCTTCTGCTTATATTCCTGAAGCCTAGTTCATAGTTCACTAACTAACCTAAAGTATCTCTAAGCTAATGGGAACAAGAAGGCGTCAGGTGGTGCAGTGGGGAGGGTGAGGGGAGAGGACATGAAGATAAATGGATTGCAATCGAAGTCATTGGGACTATTCAGAACCATGCCCCTTGGCTTGAGATGTAATCTGTGTTACATATTCCTGTGCCCTGTGAGAGTTGAATAAGATCCCTTGCCTTAAATTTCAGTCAACTCATTGACATTGATGGAAATGACCAATTGGAAAAGAAATGTACTGCAAGCATAGTCCAATTGAAGAACTCACGGCTCAGTGCTTTTCAGTGTTTGTGGGAAAACAGAATGAGGCAGAAAGCCCGAGATAGTTTTTGGTGATTCACTATAGAGATTCATCCTGTTTGTGGCTTTTCAAGGCCTCAAGGAAATAAAAGTATATAGGACATAGGTATAAAGGATATAAATCCAATGCCTGAAAGGGGAGCCAATTTAAATTTCCGATGGAAAGAGAATGACAAGTGCTGGATTTGTTAAAACCCATTCCTTGATTGAAATACACTAAAGCCACGTTGATTTCCTTAAAAACAAATGCAAACACAAATGTTCCTAAGACTCCCTTAACCTCTTAGGAACTTGGCTTTGCATTGAGCATCAAGCTAAGACAGCCAGAGTTCTGCCTTCATGCTTCCTCCCTGTGTTCCTACGTAGGGGGCAGCTGCGTGAGGGAATGTGTCCCTGGCTTCTACGGCAACCAAGACATGGGGGAATGTGAGCCCTGCCACCGAGCCTGCAAAACCTGCACTGGCCTTGGCTACGAGGAGTGCAGCAGCTGCCGAGAGGGGCTGCAGCTGCTGCATGGGATGTGTGTGCGTCCCACCCAGACCCAGGTGCAAGGCAAGTCCTGGAAAGGTTTGTGACTCCCAAAGAGAGGCTGTAGGGACCTGGCTGCCTCTCTGGCTCCCTCCCTCTTTAATCTTTGCTTTTGAGCTATCCAAGAGAGGAAGGCTGGGCAGGGAGACAAGAATTGAGCAAGAATGCAACTTTGGGCTGTTGTAGGTGTGTCTGGTGTGCAGTGGGAGAGGGTAGGAAGTTGTGGTTGGCATTTGGCCAGCAGGGAGAACCCAAAGGATACTTTAGGATTGACCTGGGTGAACGTGGCCAGGAATTAAGTGAAAAGAAGCATACGTGGAAATGGGCCGAGTACGATGTTCCCAACAGTTTCAACCTAGCTTGGATCACACGAATGTGTCTCTGTTGTAGAAAAGGACAATACCCAAAGGGTAGGCTTTTCCAGTCACTCGAGGGAGAACTCTAAACACTGGCAATTATGCTAAAACAGATGATCTTTCTGGCTGCATCCTTGGAACTTGCCATCATTCAGGTTTTCCTTCTAAAAGTTCCCCCCTGCCAGTTTGCAGATGAGGACAAAGCGAGGTCTTCCTGGGGGACAGGTGGGTGGGTACATGTGGGAGCTTGGAATCCCAGTGAAGAGATCAGGATACTCTTCCTCCCTGAGGCCTGAGAAGTGGCCTCCTCCCAGTTGACCCTCGCTGGAGAGCCTCCTTGCAAAGTCGTTACAAACTTCCAGTGACCTCTCCAAGTCTGAGGTGGTTGAAGAACAATATCCCTACCTGCTCCCATTCTATCGGCAATCCTCCCCAAAACAAGGATGCTCTCCACCGGACTTCAAGGCTAGGATTCCCTAAGGATCTTTTCAGACCAGTGGCCATTGCTGCTGAGAGAAGACTCGCGCAGATTGAGTTTTAAGGGCTGAAGAGACGGACAGATGGAAGCAGAAGAAGCCCGCAGCTGGGTTGGAGAGCAAGGATGCCCAGCGAGCGATGCTGTCTACTTGGCCAGTTTTCCCCAAGTGACTTAGAGAAACCACAGCTCAGAGACCTTCGCAGACCTAGTGGTCAAAAGCTACAGAGAACACTGGGTCTCTTTGGGAGACATAACCGGGAAACAAATCCTCCAATTCAGTTTGGGATATCTTCTGTGAATTATAGCTGAACGAAAACTCTGGAAGCAAGTTTGTCCAGCACTCAGGCATTTAGGAGGCAGTGCAGGCCAAGAGGAAAACGGCCCGGTGCTGTGCTTCTCGCGAAGAACATCTGTATTTTATCTGGCGTCCAGATGATGACGCGGTCCCGGGAGCCAAGAGGCAGAGCAGACTTGATTCCCCAAATGATTGCCCCATCTCTTCAACTGCACTCCTCATTCTGCCAGCAGGAATCAGGCTTTGATTGTTCCCCTTTGGCCCAGCCTCACACCCACCCTCTCCAGCCCCGTTCGACCATCACCATGTAGAGTGTTTGCAGAGAGGAAGGGATTACTCCATGTGGGGCGTTCACACTAACAGGAGGGTCAGGAAGCAGATGAGAATGTGACTCTTGTCGGACAAAAGCAATAAAGTCAGTGGCACTGCTGCACTTGTCCCTCTCCATGATCTATGACATAAGACATGCAAAGAAATGCCCTCAGGACGCAAGGTAAGGCTGTAGATAACTCCCAGGGTAGTTTAACCACTGAAATGGATAGGAAATGTGAAATGCCTTCCGTAAAACCCTGGGAGTATTGGAGCCAATGCCTACATCTTGCTCCTGATTTCTTTTCCTTAAAAAACAAGGTCGAGAGTGTAATAGGAGAATAGAAGGTTCCAGAGAACAGGCACTAATTAGCCACACCTTTCACATGATGGAAAGCAGATTGCAGTCATCCTGGGTCAGTGGAGAGGAAGCCAGACAAGTTACAGAGTGTTTCTGAGAGAATGTAGCTGCCTAGGTGATACCAGCAAGGTTTTGAGGCTCTTTGGTGTTTCTCAACACAATCAGACACCAGTAGGAAACGAGAGATGGCACAAAGTTCAGTCCGTTCCCTCCCTCGCCCATGTTGCTTCCCAGCAAAAAGAGTGAGATCGTGTTCCCGCTCGAAGGCGTCCACCCACCCCAGAGTGCGTGTCAGCGTGTGCCGGGAAACACTCCTGAGGCACAAATCCAACCAGAGTCCCCCGAACTCCTCTTTCAACACAGCGGCTGATCAGGATGGGAGTGGCAGGGGCGAGAGAGCCACCACTCTTTGTCAGCTCCCGGCAGAGCGCATGGAGCTGGCGCCACACACGAGACCCCGCCTGGAACGCCGTCTAGCTGGGACTAAGCGGTCACCGCAGATGGTGCGCTTCTTTCTGTTCTTCCAGTCTCCAACGGAGAGCCGTTACACACACGTATGGATCCTCCTAGACTCTCTGTCCCAGTCACTAACAGACCGTGAGGATCACCGAGGACAGTCTCCATAAATGGCAGACAGAAAACAGGCCACAGATGAGCCCAGCAGTGACGCGAAGCCCCCCGCAAAGCCCTGCCCAGGCTGGTCTCCTAAAGCGTCTTTGGGAATGGGAATAATTTCCTCCGTTACTGTGAAGTCCCTGGGCCCCTCTGGCTTGGTTTCCCCTCTGGGAGTACTGGGAAGTAACTGGGACTAATTCATGCATATTTTTCCTACCCACCTATTTCCCCCATTGATTAAAACCAGGTTGTAGCAGGCTGTAATTACATATTCGTAAGAAAGTCTAATCTACAAAGCACAGACATGGGGAATTAACATTTTTTTATCTTCGACCACATCCTAACAATTTATCACTGGCCTGGCTTTTGATCTTAATTCCTATGCTTAAGGGAAGACTGGAACCCCAGAGTCAGTCACTTACACGGAAAACCATGCACACATAGGGAAAAAGTCCTCCTCAATGGTGCCATTGGACTTTGAGAAACTTTAGATCCTGTGGAAACCTGTTTTACAAGGACTTTGTAGATGTGCACAACCTCCTCTCTTAACTTCGAAATGAGGGTAGCATTTTTAGTTAGCTAACCAACCAAGCACAGAGTACAAAAAGATGCGTTACTGGGCAGGTCACTCAGTGTTTGGTCCAGTGGTATGAGGAAGCCACTTCTATCGGCTTGCACAGTTTGTTAAATAGTCGAGAACTCCAGAAGTGGATGGTTCAACCATTGATAGGTGGAAATCAGGTAAGGAGGGAATATTTAAACCACAAAAATTAGAAACACTGCACATCAAGTGTTTTGCTTTTTTCTTCTTCTAGAGAAAGATTTTATCATTACACCTTTGCTTTGTCCTATATCAACTATTTCCAAAGCCAAATTGATTACTAAAGCAGACCTTTTTAGTGCATGGGAGCTTTAGAGTTAGGGATACCTGGGTTCAAATCCTGGCTCTGTTGCTGACCAACTATGTGACCTTGGGCAAGTTCCTCATCCTCTCTGAGCCTGTTTCCTGGTCTATAAAATGAAGACATGAGACTGCCTCATTAAAAGTCTTTTTGAAAACTGATGGGAGAATACACATAAAGCTCCCAGCACATATAGGACATAAAAAATGTTAGCCTATTCCCCACCCTTTAACCTGGTCCACTTTTAGCACCAGTGACACTAGCTCTCTTTCAAAGCCACGTTTCCTAGTTCTTTGAAAGAATGCAGCTTCATGGGCCAAGAGGGTGGTAAGGTCTGGAAAACATAGTCACAGAAGAAGACAGGAATTCATGGTCAGTTGAGTTGCCCAATAACCAGGCTGAGCCCTGATCTAGCCAAGAACATACATTCACAAAGACTTTGCTAGAGCTTTATAACGGGTCTTCAGAGCTCATGGACAATGCACGTTATTCACAACTATGCGTGGATTTCAAAAGTTTTGTAGGAAAATAAACTTATCTTTTCATTCCATTTTCCATGAACTTTGTGAAGTACCCCCTGTATTTATAATAACAAAAAAGAAAAAAAAGTGATCCAGAAGTGGAACCAAAGGAAAAAGTTGAGTTATGGTTCCTGCAAATAGATATGCAAACTATGTAAAATGATCTTTACAAAGAATTTTGATGCCAAGAGAAAATGCCTAAAAAATGCATGCAGTTGAGTGCAGTGGGCAGGGCCGTGTTATACATGCAGAACATGTAAGTGATTGCACAGATAAACACTCATGTCCTTGTGCACACACATGCGGTATAAAGGCGGGGAATCTAGGTGGCAAAGTATACATGGCAGACATTTCTGAGTGGTGGGATTGTAGGTGAAGATTATCTTCTTTATCCTTTTTTGCATTAAAAAAACGCTTTGTCTTTTTTAATAAAAATAAAAAGCAGCTGTGCCCACTGCAAGCCCATCTTTGATGAAGACCCTGCTGCAGGAGCGACGAAGGTGGAAGGTTCAAATCAAAAGAGGTAACAGGGACACAGGGAGGAGACATCACAGCAAAGTCTCCGCTGTGTGGAAACCAACCCAAGGAGCTGGGAGAGAGGAGCACATGATGACGCAGGAGAGAGAATTGCAGAGAGCGGGGTGTGGGGGCAGGCAGCATCAGCGGGCAGAAAGGAGGAAGCCGGAGTGGGGATTTCTGTACCGGATAAGACATCCCCGATGAGCTAAGTGGTGAGGCCTGGGAGAGGTGACTGAGAAAAGCCCCTGAACCAGCAGACCTTGGATAGGCTGGAGATGCACTTTTGTCTCTGCAGTCAGTGCGGCATTGTTGGAACTAGCAAAGGGAGGAGAACACTACACGGTTACCAATAGGAGACTTGAGAAAGACAGAACAGCACATCCACGTGGTGGAAGGTTAGGGAGCCTTCGAAATGAGTGCACTGATAGAGAAGGATCCCATTATATAATGGGCCTTGAAAAATAATGGCAAGATGATAAACAGTGCAAACGGATGCAACTTGCATTTCAAAGGGTGGTGAAGTCTAGGAGGGACATTTCATAGCATATGCCTTTCCTCCATTTTGAACCATCTGAGTTTGCTTATTTAATAGACATAAACAAGGAAAGTAAAAACATCCCTTTTCTTTATATAGCTTAGTTGTAGCTATCTGATGGACAGAAACCACAGTTTTGAACAACGTAATTTCTTCTTTCCTCCATTCCTTTTCTTTTTTGAAGTCCTTTCCATTCTGGAAATTCAAATGAGGCAAAAGAGAAATTATAATTAAGATAAAAGTTTACTTGTTGAGAGTAAGCCACTATCCAGGACAGAATAGCCGCTTTGTTGTTTCGTTACTAACTGCTTGTACAGAGCGCCCTCTCGCGTGCATATGCGGACATTACAGAATTTTATGCTTAAGTATAGGCAGTAAAATATCAAATTGCCAGAATGGGAGCTATGTGTAATTATAAACACATGTGTATGTGTAGCTGTACAAGTATACACTTTACACATCTATTAGAAAATTAATGAAAACTTACGTCTTTGTAAATCCATTTCAGTATGAAAATAACACCTGAAGAAAAATCAGTGTGGGGTCTGAACACATAACATTGAAGATTTTGAGGGTGCTCACTGTCTGATGCTGTCAGCTTTTAAACAATGTCTGTCAGCCACGCAGTAGGCAGCTTGACTGATAGGAGCAGCAGAAGTGCTGCTGGCCTTCCAGACGGACTCCGTGGTGTTGAGAGGCACATGGACCACTTTTGTGACGTCCCGTGGCTAACACGGCCCTGCACAAGGCTGACTGAGAGCTTAATTGGCCCCCCAGGAACACTGCTTCAGGCATTCACCAGATCTAACTGCTAAATGAGAAATGCAGGGTAAATTTTGTCTGCCAAAGTAGGAAAATCCCACCGTTCAACACGGCACCAAGGGGGTTTCCGCAAGTTTGTGGAAAATGAGTGTTCTCTTCAAATTCCATTTTCCACAATTTTTGTAAACTTTATCCTTTTTTAAGATTTTATTTATTTATTTGAGAGGTAGAGTTACAGACAGTGAGAGGGAGAGACAGAGAGAGAGGTCTTCCTTCCATTGGTTCACTCCCCAAATGGCAGCAACTGCTGGAGCTGCGCCAATCCGAAGTCAGGAGCCAGGAGCTTCTTCCAGGTCTCCCACGTGGGTGCAGGGGCCCAAGGACTTGGGCCATCTTCTACTGCTTTCCCAGGACATAGCAGAGAGTTGGATCAGAAGTGGAGCAGGCAGGTCTCAAACCGGTGCCCATATGGGATGCCGGCGCTTCAGGCCAGGGCATTAACCTGCTAAGCCACAGCACTGGCCCCTCTAGGATTTTAATCCCCCTCACATATCTGTATCTATTGGTTGCCCATCTATCAGTCAATCCATCTGTTGATCTATCCGTCTGTATTTGATCCTTTTTTCCTCTGCAGCAAAGCTTGGCTGCTTTTCAACCAGGAGTGCTGTTGTAGAAACCAAGCTCCGCCTCCTGGTGCTGCTGGAGCTATGAGGGCAGAGAGATGCAAGAGAGAAGCAAAACAAGCCTCAGAAGCGGGGTTTGGGGTTGAAAACCGGGAGAGGAGAGAGGAAGCAGCGATTACCATTTACTGATCCACTGGGTTAAGCACTAGACACACATTTTCTCGTTTAGCCTTCACAAGGGAGAAATCATTTTCTCTCATTTTAGAGACTGGAAAATAGGACTCTGAGAGTTTAATTACAGTATCCATGGTTACCCTGCCGTAAGAGGCATAGCTGGGATCTGAAGGCAGGTGTGACTGCGAAACCGCCTGTGCCAGACAGGCTGGTGGGGTGAAGGGACGGGAAGGCAGGAGGGGGAGGCGGGGAGAGAGGGGTCGTGGAGGCCTGGCGTTGACTGAGAGCCAGATCGTTCAAATCCCACGTTCTCAGCGAGAGCTTTCCTAACCCCCAGTGTGAGTCATGCTGATCCCTGAGCCCCTCCTGAGCTTTAGGCGAATCCCAGTATGTGCTGAGTGCGGGATGTTACCGAGGCTGTTCTCTGTGTCTTTGGAACTGTCCCACGAAGTTGCTGCGGTGACTTCCTGGAAAATCTGCCCAGGCAGTAGTCTCGAAGGAAAAGGGAGAGGGGAACTTCTCGTGCTTGCGAGTTTAATGGCGTGTTAACCTGGGAGAGCCTGCTGGAAGCCTGACTGTCCAGAAAGCTCGTGGCTGAGCAGAATATTTTGATGTTTAATGATTTGGGGCAAATTTATGATGAGATAAATTTAGGTTGTATATCACAGTGGTTACTATGAAAAACAGAGGGACCCAAACATTGGCCAAAAATGAAATCTGACTTGCAAAGGACAAAAAGAAAGAAAAAAAATGCAAGGCACAGAATATTGTCAGCTGTCACTTATGTTTGTGATATTGTGTACATTCAGGAGCACATGCACTTGTTTTAAAAGATTTATTTATTTTATTTGAAAGTCAGAGTTACACAGAGAAAGGAAAGGCAGAGAGAGAGAAAGTCTTCCATCTGCTGTTTCACTCCCCAGTTGGCTGCAACAGCTGGAGCTGCACCGATCCGAAGCCAGGAGCCACGAGCTTCTTCCGGGTCTCCCACTTGGGCGCAGGGGTCCAAGGACTTGGGCCATCTTCCACTGTTTTCCAAAGCCATAGCAGAGAGCTGGATAAGAAGTGAAGCAGCCTGGTCTCTAACCTGTGCCGGTATGGGATGGGATGCCGGCACTGCAGGCGGAGGTTTAACCTGCTACAGCACAGTGCCGGCCCCACATGCACATTTTTTTTAAGATTTATTTATTTATTTGAAAGAGTTACACAGAGAGAGGAGAGGCAGAGAGAGAGAGAGAGAGAGAGAGAGAGAGAGAGAGGTCTTCCATCCAATGGTTTACTCCCCAGATGGCCGCCATGGCCGAAGCTGTACATGCACATTTTTAACACACGAACTGACAGTTGTTAGTTCAAATATCACCATAGTATTTTAGGTTATCCTGTAAGAAATCATATTCTCTGTCTTGGAAAATTTGCAAAGGAAGTCTTGATAATCTATTGTCAGTGGAGGAGTAAGAGAAAAAAAAATGAGCAATGTCTACACAATGACAGTGGCAGGAGCAACAAATAAATAGCTAAGAAAAATCAATGGTATTCTGTCTTGGACAAGAAGAGAGGACAGTGTCTACTGTGAGCCTGTTCAAAGAAGAATTCTGACTTGTTTCTTTCCCATACAGACATCTGGGGCAGATACCAACCTTGTGATTCTTCTTGTAAAACGTGCAATGGATCTGCAACTCTGTGCACTTCATGTCCAAAAGGTTGGTGTGCAGTGTGACAGGAGGTGTGCAACAGCCAAGTCCATACACCACCCGTGTATGTGGGTGTCTTTGGGTAATGAGGTCTGTGGGACCTTGATCTACGCTCAGCACATGTGTCTATCACAGTGGCCACTCGAGAAGGCACAGGTACCCAAACATTGAGCAATAATAATAATCAGCTTCCAAAGGACAAGAAAAAGAAGGAAAGAAAGGAGGGATGGAGGACACAAAGAAGGGAAGGAGGACAAGGGGGAGGGAGGAAGGAAAGAACCTAAAGGCATGCTGTGGGACTTGGCCACAGAAGTTGCTAGGGTCTACTGGCACCTGCCCTTTCTAGACATTCCCTTCCTCCCTTGCAATGTGTTATCCAAAACAAGAGAACTTATGGTAGAGAATGCAAGCAGGGATTTAAAAACCTGGGTGTTATTTCCTCCATTGTTACTGAATTTAGGGATGGGGGAGCAGAGAGCCAGGCCAACAAAACAAGAGTTCAGAAAATTCTCAACTGCTTCATCATCTATCAAATCCAAACATCATAAGCAATATAAGTTTCCTGAGTGAGGGGGATAGTGCATGCATCCATTAAAATGCTCATTAAGAAGGCAGTATTGAGATGTATGTTAAGAGGGAGATCCGATGCAAAAGCAGAATTTAAAATAACAGAGGTCCCATGATTATAGTCATATAAAATATAAAAGCTGATGCCCAAAGAATGGAAGGGTTTTCTTGGAGTTTGGGGGTTCGGGGTGATTTTAAAATCGCTTTCATTAATAATGATATCTGGAGAGGTTTAGACCTCCATCAGAGCGGAAGTTGGGTGGTGGAGTTGCTCCTGGGTTAGCCCACAAGAGGGGCCTGGGGAAGCAGAATAGACTGCTCTATGTGTGGAGGGCTCTCTCACACCACGCAGGCATGTACAAGGGCGTCAATAGGACAGGGCAGCTAGGCAAAGGAAAGCCCCATCCTGACCCACACTGAAGATCAGTAGAAAAGTAACAGAAACAAGGCAGAAGCTTTTTGCTGTCAAGTTCCTCTCTAGGGAATTAACCCATTTTGGAGGACTTATTACACTGGTAAATATTTCAGTAGGCTTGAGACAGGTGTCCTGGGTAGGTGGGTGTGGGAAAGGATTTAAAGGCTGTTGTAGCCATGAGTTCTCTGCATAGATGTGTGCACTGTGAGGACAAACATGTGATGCCTGTTCTTGTCTGCCCTCTCCCCTGCTGCTAGGTGCATTTCTGGTGGATCAAACCTGTGTTTCCTCCTGTCCCCAAGGCACTTGGCCCTCAGTGAGGAGTGGCACCTGTGAGACCTGTGCAGAGGGCTGTGCCTCCTGCTCAGGAACCAATCAATGCAAAGAGTGCCAGACTCAGCTGGACCAGCCCCTCCTCCTCCATGAAGGCAGATGTTACACCAAGTGCCCCGAGTAAGTCTCCCTCTTCCTTACATCTCCTGCTTGTTCCTTCTCCTACAGGGCTTTGGGGCAACTCCTTCCTGATTGCCATGATCTCATCTTCCCCCTGGTTAGGACACACGCATCGTGGCCTCTGCTGACATCTCTGTTGGCCACAGCACAAAAATGGGCCTAAGGCCAGATGCTCACTTCTTCATGCCTGTTCTATGTCTGCATTTTTACTTTTGTGAAAATATGTTCTTTCTCTCCCTCGTGTTATTGATCAAGTGTGGGCAGCTCTCTTCTCCAGCACTAGAGCAAGGCTGTCATATGAACCTTTTCTAAACATCGGAGGTAGATGAAGTATGAATTATACATAATGCACAAATAGTGATATTTGATGAATTATATATTGATTCCCATGGTTTACTCAGCCCCTTGGCTTATGATTCCTTTCCTCCTGCTATCAATGGCCCCACATCCAGGATTTACCTAACAGGGAAGTGAGAATGGCAAGTGGAAAAGGACATAAGGAATTGTGGAGCAACAAGCAACAGAAATGCCAAGTGAAATGACAGAGACAATGACAGGGCTTATTATCTCACATCACACAAAGTTGTGCAGGCTACTGTTGGCTACTTCGGCAGCCAGGTGGTCATCAGAAGCCCACAGCTCTTCCGTTTGGCTTGCATCCCCTCCTAGCTTGTTCTCTCTGGTTGGCTCCTCTCCCCTGAGCCTCAGTGTCTGCCTCAGCTCTAAACGTCACCACCACAGGCAGCCACAATCAGGGCAGAAAAGGGGAGTGTATCTCCATGTTCTCCTATTTTTTAGGAGGAAGAAAGTTTCCTCAGGCTTCCCTTCCAATCTAACTAGCCAGAATGTATCATTACACCTTCTCAAACCAGTCTCTGGCTAGGAAAATGGAAACACAATTGTGTCCCATTACCTACTGGAGATACATCCCAAGAACTACAGTGGCTTCCTGAAACCATGGCTAGTACCTAGCCCTGTACTATGTATGTTCCTATACATGCATACCTGTGATGAAGTTTAGTCTATAAATTAAGCACAATAAGAGATTATCAATAACTAATAATAAGATAGAACGTCTATAACAACATTAATACAAGCTATGTGAATGTGGTCTTTCCCTCTCTCCAACTATCTTGTACTGCACTGCCACTTCTTGTGAAGTGAGATGACACAATGTCTACATGATGAAGTGAAGTGGATATGGCAGGCATTGTCACTTAGTGTTAGACTTGAACATGAGCATTGCAGTGATACCAATTCCTGACAGTCAATCTGACAACCGAGTAATTTCTGTAATGTAATACGTTAATCATTCAGACATACTGTACATGCAGACATCAGATTCTACCTGAAAGGAAGTCAGTCACACAAACATATGCTCCAATAACAGGTACTCAGGGGCTGTGTGCAGAGATCTGTACATGTGTGCTGGGATGAAGCCATCACAGGTTGACTGAGGACATCCCAAAGCAACAGTGGTCCAATTTTATAGGCATCAATCCTCTTAACCTTTTTGAAAACAATTTTTAAGTTTATTCAATGTTAAAAAATGTTTAAATTGTGTAAAAAGTATTTTCTACTCTAAGACTCTAACAAAAAGGAGCAAAAAAATAACTGAAGAAGAAAATGACTAACCTAAATGCAATTTACAACAGGTGTTTTCAAATAAACCATATCCACAGGGGAAATGTTTGTCTCTCAGTTTCCTAGCTGTTGTTTTCCACTGCAGTTCCACAGGGAATCCTACAGATCAGTTTTGGTTGACAATAGCAGCAATTTTTTTTTTTTGCTTTCAGTCTTAATTCCTTCTTTATGCCTTAAATTTTATTTATTTTGAAAGGCAGAGTGACACATATACAGATAAACAGAGAGGGATCTCTCACCCATTGGTTCATCTCTCAAATGCCTGCAACAGTCAGAGTTGGGTCAGGCAAGGGCCATGAGGCTAGAACTCAATTTGGGTCTCCAACTTGGGTAGCAGGAATCTAAGTACTTGAGCCATCACCTGCTGCCTCCCATGGTGCACATTAGCAGGAATCTGGAATCAAGAGCAGAGCTGGGACTTGAATCCAGGCACTCCGGGCATCACAACAGGCACCTTGCTGCACCAAACTCCTGCTCCCTAGTCCTGAATCCTTTGCTACCAGGGATGAATCACGCTGCCCATTGGTGAGTCCCTTCAGTTGTACTCTTCCTGTCTTCCACAGGGGCTTTTATGCAGAAAACGGCAAATGTGAGCACTGTAGCTCTGCTTGCAGAACCTGTGAAGGAAATGCCACCAATTGCCACTCCTGTCACGCAGGCTTCGTCCTGGACCAGGGAGTGTGCCAGGAAACCTGCCCCGAGAGGCACGTGGCTGTGGAGGGTGTGTGCAAACATTGCCCGGAGATGTGTCAGGACTGCATCCATGAAGAAACTTGCAAAGGTATCTAGGAGTGCTCCAAGGGTGTGTGTGAATGGGTCTGCAACAAGAGCTTGGGCAACCCGTCTCCCCACCTTGACTGAAAAGCACCAGTCTTGGTGCCTGCATTGAGGATATTGAGGGTGAGACACAGCCTTACCAGCACCGATTCTGCAAACCAAGACAAGCAAGAGCCCCTCTTCCCATGGTTTATTCCACACATATGTACATACATACTCGGGGTGTGGCAGCTCTATCCAAGATGCTAGGGACACAAAGAAGATCCCAGAATGCTTGTACCCCTTTGGGCACGAAGTCTTAGTGGAGGCAAACAACAAAACACGTAGGTAGCTAGAGACTCATTTATCTGGTGTTGTCTTGGCCAAAGGATTCTTCTGGTGTGACTGGATGTGTCCCCCCCGGATTCTTCCCCAAAATAATAAACACAAATAAAATAAATCCACAATGCATTCTTCATCCTGATTAACCATCTACTTATGGATCTACCCTGTCAATGAATAAAATTCAAATAATCCAGCCATTCTTAAGCTACCTTCTGTTTTGAATAGAGTGTGAGGCACTCAATACAGTTTTTCAATATCTGTTCATGCTTTTGGGGTTTTTGAAAAATACCTCCAGCATCTCAGCCACCATGCCCCACCACCACATGCAACCTTGTACACCTCCAAGAGCAGGGCATCTCAGCTTGTCAACCCAGGACCATCCATTCAAGTCACCAGGTGTGGCCTCCTCCTCCCATGGCAGGGCTTGTTAGACATCGAGGCTGTGCCCTGGCATGGTGGACACTCAGGTCAGATGAACCACAGTGACCAGGGACAGGCTGACCCACAGCATAAGGAATGCACGCCTCTCTTCCGTCCCCTTGGGAATAACTTGCTGCCTCCTCCTTCCCCCAGAGTGCATGCCTGACTTCTTCCTGCACAACGACATGTGCCTCCAGGCCTGTCCCCCGGGCTTCTATGAGGACTCGCGCCAGTGTGTCCCCTGTCATGAAGACTGCCAGGAGTGCAATGGCCCAAAAGCTGACGACTGCGAGCTCTGTGCAGAGTCTTCCTTGGTCCTCCATGATGGGCTGTGTTTGGATGAGTGTCCAGAAGGAACGTATCATGAGAAAGAGACTAAGACTTGCCAAGGTAAAGGCTGCAAGGATGTGTGGTCAAGCATGGCATTCCATGAGCCCAGTGAGAGGGGTTCTGCACAGACAGAATGGACTTGGGTTTGCATGGTTTCAGCCCCAGTCTTTACCCTCCCACTCAAGAAAGTGCTTTCTCTAATTAATTATTAAACTATATATATATATATAGTTTATTTGAAAGGCTGAGCATCAGAGGATAAAGAATGACAGAGAGAGGGAGAGATCGTCTATCTGCTGGTTCACTCCCCAAATGCCTGCAACAGCCAGGTGGTCCAGGCTAAACCCAGGAACTAGGAACTCTATCTGGGTCTCCCACATAGGTGGCAGAGGCTCAAGTACATGATCCATCACCTGCTGTCTCCCAGGCACATTAGCAGAAAGCTGGATCCAAAGTGGAATAGGCAGGGCTTGAACCAGCATTCTGACATGGGATGCAGGAGTTCTAGGCAGCAGCTTAACCACTGAACCACAATGCCAGCCCACTAATAAAATTTTTAATGAATCATTCATAAGCTTTGATCATGTGATTTTTAATAACAAACCACATGACCCCTCCTCAAAGCAGCTGCTAGAAATTGTGCCAATAAAAAGGATTCTCATGGGAAGAGATATCAACGATGAAGAGCCTTCAAAAGTCACCCCAAATGGAAGGTTTTCTTGGACTTTTTAGTCATTACAAGTTTTAGCGTTAAGCAAGCAGTGCCATGGAGGAATTTCTTGGAGCTTCCTGCCTCTCCCTTCCTTGTTTGCTCCCCCAGGTCCACTCCTCCCCTCCTCATCACCTCCAGAACACTTTCCCCAGGTCCTCTCTCCCAACTTCCACTCAGCACCTCAGTCCCTATACGTTCAAGAAAGAATCTGCAAGGGCTGGCGTTGTGGCACAGTGGGTTAGGCCACAGCCTGTGATACTGGCATTCCACATCAGAATGGCAGTTTGTCCTCGCTGTTCAGATTCTGATCCAGCACCCTGCTAATGTGCCTGGGAAAGCAGCAGAAGATGGTCCATGTACTTGGACCCCTACCATCCACATGGGAGACTCAGTGGAGTTCTTGGCTTCTGGCTTTGGCTTGGCACAGCCCCAGCTGTTGTAGCCATTCGGGGAGTGAAGCACTGGATGGATTCTCATTTCTCTCTCTCTCTCTCCCCCCCCCACCCCGCCACTCCTTCTTCCTCTCCTTCCTTCTCTCTCTCTCTCTTTGTGTGTGTGTGTGTATGTGTGTGTAACTGCTTTTCAAATAAATCTGGAAAAAAAAGAAAGAATCTGCTATTATTTACACCTCATTCTATCTGAACTGGGCATGGAATTTTTGCTTCTTATTACTTATCAGAAAACAGAAAAATGAAATAAGCTGGGCCGGCGCTGCGGCTCACTAGGCTAATCCTCCGCCTTGCGGCGCTGGCACACCGGGTTCTAGTCCCGGTCGGGGCACCGGATTCTGTCCCGGTTGCCCCTCTTCCAGGCCAGCCCTCTGCTGTGGCCTGGGAAGGCAGTGGAGGATGGCCCAAGTGCTTGGGCCCTGCACCCCATGGGAGACCAGGAGAAGCACCTGGCTCCTGCCATCGGATCAGCGCGGTGCGCGGGCTGCAGTGCGCCGGCCACGGCGGCCATTGGAGGGTGAACCAATGGCAAAGGAAGACCTTTCTCTCTGTCTCTCTCTCTCACTGTCACTCTGCTGTCAAAAGAGAGAGAGAGAGAGAGAGAGAGAGAGAGAGAGAAGGAGGAGGAGGAGAAGGACGAAGAACAGCTGTCCATTACTAGAGAAATTCTCCAGCAAGTGTGAGAAGAGTGGTGTCGAGGAAGGTGGTTCCCCTGTGGATGTCTAGGGAGGACTGTACTAGCAGGTGACCACATCTCTGAAGACTTGCTTGTTGTTGCAGTTTAGGTAATTACACAAAGCTGACTGCTATTTCCTAGGTAGTTGTTGCAAGAATGAGCTCTGTGGGCATCACAGAGAAAATGAAACAGCCCAAGAACAATCCACTTCCAAGCAGAAAGGTTGTACCCATCTCATGGCCCCACACTCTTGGCACTGACCCTAGGAATCTCCAAAAGAAGTGTGGAAGGGGTGTGGATACCCTTTCCAGAGGGATTCATTCCCTGCCGGGGTGGTGCCTGGGCCCCGTTTCAGTCTCTGATCACACCCACAGATTGCCACACGTCCTGCCGGACCTGCTCATCTCCTGGGACCTGCACAACCTGCCCAGAGGGCCTGAAGATGAACAGACATGGCAGCTGCGTGGCTCACAAGGAGTGCGCCCCCATCGAGTACTGGGATGAGGAGACTCACGAGTGCAGGCCATGTCACACCAAGTGCTACCGCTGCACTGGGCCAGCCGAGGACCAGTGTCATACCTGCCCAAGGGAAAGCCTTCGTCTCAGTGAGTTACATTTACCCCACGGAGGGCTTAGTTCTCCCTTCTTCTGGGCAGCCACCTTGCACGATGCCTATTGCGTGTTGACTTTTCCTTCATAACATTTTGTTTTGTGATTGGGAAATTTTCAAACCTGCAGCAAAGACGCAGCAAGAGTGGAAGTAGCACAGGAACATGCCACCGTTCCCACTAAGGTACACAGTGACCTATCCTCAGTTCTGTCCTGGCCACAGTACAGTGGAAGGCACTTGAAGCTGCCTGTCTTCTCTGTCCATCCGCCTTAGCTCCTGTTGCACAAGTCTCAGAGACCTTCCTCCCTGGCTCTTGCTGCTTCAGAAAAACATTCCCTCCCACCAGATCTCCTTGTAATCCCACCCCAGCCCCTCTTTCCTAATTATCTCCCATCTAGCATGTCACCAGTGGTCCTGTGGATGCCTTCACACAGAGAGGAGGAATCTACTCACTACGAGGTTGTCTTCCCTCACACTGGCAGGCAATAGAAGCGACACATCAGCATTGGTGTGTAACACCGATGTAGCCACCGAGAGCTGAACACAGCATTGGCCTAGGCCTTGTCTTTCCACCCTCTCCCCACCCCGCCAGGATCAGTCCATTTATAAACTAGATAATTTTTTTTTTTTTGGAGATTGTGGTAGACCAAAAAATTACTCACCCGAAGAAGTCATAGGCTAATTCCTAGATGTTGTAAATGTTTTACCTTTGTGGTAAAAGTTACTTTGTGGCTGGGATTTGATTTAGGGTCTTAGCATGAAGAGATTATCCTGGATCACCCACGTGGGCCCAGTGTAATCACAAGGGTCCCACAAGAGGGAGGCAAGAGGATCAGAGTTACCAGTGGAAGGGGATGTGATGACAGAAGGCTATATGCTGCTGCCTTAGAAGACAGAGGAAGAGGACCTGAGCCAAGGAATGCAGGCAGTCTCAGAGGGTTCAAAAGGCAAGGAGATTGGTTCTGCCCTAGGAGCTGCAACAGGAAGGCGGCCCTGGGCACCCATCAAGAGTTCTGGCCGCCAGAACAGTAAGGTAATATAGTTGGTAGCAATTTGCTGCAGCAGCAGGAAATCTGATACAGAGGTGTTTCCTCTTTAGGGGACTGGGGCTTCCCCTAGTGAGCCAGGTTCCTTAGCTGGACAAAGAACCCTTGTCCAGGTCCACAGTCACCAGGCTGGGTTTTCCGTCCCACCCAGGGCCAGTTCACGCTTCCATTTCCTCTGCACTCCCAGTGACCTCAGGAGCGACTCTGTTTCTTAGCTATCTAGCACATCATTGCCAGCAGGGACATTGTCTCTTTCCACCTGCACTCCGCCTCCTCCCGCATGGTACCCAGTGGGGAGAAAGTGGCAGAGATGTGGGAGACACATGGCATGCTCATCGTCACAACTCCTCTGCTACCTCGACAGATACAACTTGCGTGCAGGACTGCCCAGAGGGATACTACGCCGATGAGGACAGCCACCAGTGTGTCCCCTGCCACAGTTCTTGCAGGACGTGTGAAGGGAGACACAGCATGCAGTGCCTCTCCTGCCGACCAGGCTGGCTCCAGCTGGGAAAAGAGTGCCTACTCCAGTGCAGGGAAGGGTAAGGAGCTTGACACATTGCCCTGTGTAGTTGCACAGCCATCTGTTATCAGCCCATTTTACAGGTGAGGAAACCAAGACTCAGAACAATATCACCAGGGTGAAACTACACAACTAGTAAGTGGAAAAGATGAGCCAATTTGCAGTCCTAGAAGAGAGACAGGAGAGGCAGAGTGACCGGAGAGGTGATGCAAGGGTTGTCAGACCGATCTTAACCCAGTGCCCACCTCACTGCTGAGTCACGGGAACTCAGCAACAATTCAGAGACAAAGCCCCCTTCCTCCATCCCTCAGAGTGGTCCAGGACCACCAGTGGAGGTCCTTGTTCTTCAGCTTTTGGATTTGCTCTGACTCAGATGTGAGGCACAAGGTCTACGCAGTGCATAGAGAACATTGATTTTACAGAGAATGCTTTCAGTTAACATCTCCATTTATACCACTAATTCCTCAAGCCGTCATGCTCCCCAAAAGCCCACAAATCAGTTTTAGTTATCAAAAACAATCTAGACACACTTGAAGCATCCTTCTTAAAGCATCTCCGAGATGAAGATTCTGTTATGCACCTGTTATGAGAATCTGTTCATGCGCTTGTCAGAAGGTTCGGTTGCCAGCATATTTGTAAGAGGATTTGACTGGGTCATCCCTGGTTCTCCTGGGCATCCCCAGTAAAGAGAAAGCTCAATTATAGGTCTGTTGCTGGTTGACTTTTCCCAATAAGTAACCAGGGCACTGTGAGTTTCCAGACCCCAGTCAAAGGCCTGTAACCTGGGGCCTTCTCCAAATTGTGTCACCCAAAGGGACCTTTTGGGTCCTTGAGTCCTATAGCAAATGCTTTTTTCATTTATTTTTGTGCTGTGTACTGCTTTGCATTTTGATTTACTTCGTCCATTCACTTAGTTATTCAACACATATTTAATGAAGAGTACCTTATGTGTATGAATAAGATCGGCAAGACAAAGGTGGCATTGGACCTAGTGGTTAAGACACCAGTTAAGATGCCCACATCCCATACCAGAGTACCTGGGTTTGGTACCCAGCTCCTCCCCTGACTCCAGCTTCTTTCTAACATAGATCCTGGGATGTGACAATTCAAGTAATTGGTTTTCTGTCACCCAGTTGGGAAACCTGGATTAAATTCCCAGTACCCAGCTCTGTTGCAGGCATTTGGGAAGTAACCTAGCAGATGGGAGTTGCTCTCTCTCTCTCTCTCTCACTCTCTCTCTCTATATCTATATATCTATATATCTATATAGATATCTATATATATATATATATATATATATATCTATATATATATATCTATATATATATCTATATATATATATAGATATATATATCTATATATATATATCTATATATATATATATCTATATAGATATATAGAGAGAGAGCTATCCCTCTCTCATTCTTCTTGTCTCTGAAATCAATAAATAATTCCATTTTTTAAAAAATGTGTAAGGGAGCTGGCTTGTGGTGGAGGAGATTAAACCCCACCTGGCGAGAATGGCATCCCTTATCAGAGTGCAGCTTTGAGTCCGGGCTGCTCCACTTCTAACTCAGCTCCCTGCTAATGTGCCTAGGAAGAGGCAGTGGTTGATGGCCCAAGTGCTTGGGCCTCTGCCACCTTTGTGGGACACTTGGATGGAGTTCCAGATTCTTGGCCTCAGCCTTGCCCAGACCTGACTATTGCAAGCATTTGGAAAGTGAACCAGTAGATAGAAATTCTCTCTCTCTCTCTCTCTCTCTCTCTCTCTTTCTCTCTTTCTCTCTTTCTCTCTCTCTGTCCTTTCTTTGCCTTTCAAATAAATGAATAAATCTTTTAAAAAGGTGGGTAAGTTAAAGACTTTGGCTTCAAGATCTTACTCTTACTGTTATATCTTTTCCCAAGAAAATTAAAAGATCCTGTTCTTCCAGGACCCCTCTTATTTTTCACGTGCTACTGCAACACTCAGCACAGAGCCACATGCATCAGCAGCTTCAGCAGCTTTTTTTTTTTTAGTTGAAAGAGTTACAGAGAGAGAGAGATGGAGAGACAGAGAAGGAGATCTTCTATCCACTGTTTCACTCGCCCAAATGGCTTCAACACATAGGGCTGGGCCAGACTAAGCTGAGAGCCAGGAGCTCCTTTTGGGTCTCCCACGTGGGTGCAGGGACCCAAGCACTCGGGCCGTCTTCTGTTGCTTTCCCAGGTGCATTAGCAAGGAGCTGTTTCAGAAGTGGAGCAGCTGGGAATCGAACCAGCACCTATAGAGGATGCCAGTGTTGCAGGCGGTGGCTTAATCCACTACGTCTCAGCAGCAGCTTTTGAAACACCTAGCTGTGTAGCTCAACAAAGAAAGGGTCCTGCCAGACTAGAATGGGGACAGGGTTACCTGGCTTGACCCTTCCACTTAACTCTAATAAGTGTTTGAAAAGATCTGAATCTCAGAAAAAAATCTCCTTCTTCCTCAGATCAAGTTATAAGAGCTCTCAAGCACAGACAAAAACGGGCGTAATCCTGTATTCTGAATAGAACAAGGGCCATAGAATTAAGAAAACAATTCATGGGGCCGGCGCAGTGGTGCAGTGGGTTAATGCCCTGGCCTGAAGCACTGGCATTCCATATGGGTGCCGGTTCATGTCCTGGCTGCTTCACTTGCGATCCTGCTCTCTGCTATGGCTTGGGAAAGCAGTGGAAGATGGCCCAAGTCCTTGGGCCCCTGCACCCGCGTGGGAGACCCTGAAGAGGCTCCTGGCTCCTGGCTTTGGATCAGTGCACCTCCAGCCATTGTGGCCAATTGGGAGTGAACCAGCGGATGGAAGACTCTCTCTCTTTCTCTCTTTGCATCTCCTATCTCTGTGGAACTCTGACTTTCAAATAAATAGATAAAAATCTTTTAAAAAAAAAAGAAAACAATTCATCAACAGTATAAGAAATTACTCATGGAGTGGTAGGAGCAGAGAAATAGGCCATTAAAGTAGAATAAATGAAAGATTATTCCTTGGTAAAAATCTATGTTCCACATGTATTGCATAAGCCTCATCCACTACATCTCTTTGCTTTGGTATGTAATTCTGTTTCAACACACATAATTTTGGGTATTTACCCCCAGAGAAGGTTCTGTAAGCCCAAAGTTACTATGAGAGCTTAGGCAGCAGGTAAGTGCTAAGTCTTTTCAGATGTGTTAATTTCCATAAATGGCAAGAGAGGGATTATAATGCCCAATTAAGTGATAAGAAGACTGAGAATCATTGATTCATCAGTATAGTAGTAATAAATTCAATGAGTTAAGTACTGAGGCCAAAGTCACAGTTATAAATGAACCCTATCAGATTAACCATGCTTTTCCCACCACACCCAATTCAGCAGCAAAGCTCAGTAAATTGACTTTCTTTCTTTCTTTCTTTCTTTCTTTCTTTCTTTCTTTCTTTCTTTCTTTCTTTCTTTCTTTCTTTCTTTCTTTCTTTCTTTCTTTCTTTCTTTCTTTCTTTCTTTTGACAGGCAGAGTGGATAGTGAGAGAGAGAGACAGAGAAAAAGGTCTTCCTTTTGCCGTTGGTTCGCCCTCCAATGGCCACCGCGGCTGGAACGCTGCGGCCGGCTCACCGCACTGATCCGAAGGCAGGAGCCAGGTGCTTCTCCTGGTCTCCCATGGGGTGCAGGGCCCAAGCACCTGGGCCATCCTCCACTGCCTTCCCGGGCCACAGCAGAGAGCTGGCCTGGAAGAGGGGCAACCGGGAAAGAATCTGGCGCCCCAACAGGGACTAGAACCCGGTGTGCCGGCGCCGCAAGGCGGAGGATTAGCTTATTGAGCCGCGGCGCTGGCTAGTAAATTGACTTTCATGTTCAAAGGTTTCATGTGCAACTGAGGATCTAAAATACCAACCTCCCAAAAAATAAATTTCATCTTACTGAACATACAAGTGTACAGATGTTTTTCTTGTCAGTGCTCCCCAAACAAAATAATAAAACAACTATTTTCATAGCATTTGCATTGGATTAAATACCATAACTATCTACAGAGATGATTTAAAGTATGGCGATGTCATTTTATATGAGGAACTTCAGTATCTGTGGATTGTGGTACCCAAGGGAGATCCTGGAACCAATTCCCCAGAGGCAGCAAGGGATAACTGTGATCCGTCTTTGCCCCCCACCTTGGTTTCAGATACTACAGAGAAAACTCCACTGGCCAGTGTGAGAGGTGCAACAAGAACTGCAGGGCTTGTCAGGGCCCACGGCCCACAGACTGCCTGTCCTGCGATACGTTTTTCTTTCTGCTGCGCTCCAAGGGAGAGTGTTACCGCACCTGCCCAGAGCACTACTATGCAGAACAAAGCACGCAGACCTGTGAGAGATGCCACCCGACTTGTGATGCATGCAAAGGTGAGAATGTATCTATTGCTATATCCATGGAAAAATAAAAAAGTTCCCATCCTGCTTTGCCTCTCTCTCCCTTCCCAACCTTGCATCCAGGCGTCTCCAGCATCAGCACCTGCTGTTGGCTCTTAGCTTCTGCATCCTCCTTCTAAGCTATGTTGCTCCCACCATGCCCTGCTGCCCCTCAGATTCTCCCACTCTTCAGAGCCCAGATGCAGGCATCATCTCCTCTAGCAAGCGTTCACCTACTGCATCGTTGTCCTCTACCTGCTGAATTTGCCTGAGGAAATCCATTTATTTTCACTACTTCCACACTGCAAAGACTCCTGCCTCAGACTCTCCCAAGCTCCGCTCCTCTTTCTGGACACTTGGCTGGCTGTCAGAGATCCTTAGACTCCGTGGTACTGGGGCTACAGTGCTGATCCCCACAGTGCCTCCTGCACAACCCACTACCCCCCACTAAGCTGAACTTCAAGGTCTGCCAATTCTTCTTCCTCCGTGTTTCTCTAATTAGATCTATTTATCCATTCTCACTGTCCTCATTTTCCCTTCTCAGTATCACCTATCACACATTTTGAAGTAGCTGGCAGGTCAACCAGTTCTGGTTTTGTCACCAACCCCTCAGGAATCCTGAACACAAATGGCAGTGCGATTATTCTTGAATTTAAGTTTGCTCATGTACTGCATAATGTGTCATAAAAGGTGATTGCTGTGAATTCTCAATATTTAAGAAAGAAATACTCCTATAATAATTTAACTGTTAAAATTTTCCAGAAAAACATTAATAGCTAATAGGGCACATTCTTGTAATTTTCAAAATCATTGTGGCTGTGTTAGTCTCTTTTTGTGAAATTTTAAAAAAAATCTATTTGAAAAAAATTCAGGCTTGGAGTTTCAATCAGGAGTGAGAGTGAGACTCTGCCTGATCAGACCTCACCCCCTGACAAGACTTCACCCCTGACAAGAAACTTCCCTGAGATGTTGCCTGCAATGCTGGTGGGATCTGTGTTTCATCAGTGTCACCCCTAAAAACACTCGAACTTCTGTCCCTGGACTGTTTCAGGCTGGAGGCAGGAGTAGAGTTAACAAAAACGCTTCTAGGCCAAAAGTAAGAACAGAGGAAGAGAGAGAGGGTGTAAAGAATGAAAACTGAAATCTCCCATACACAATGAATTTAAGACCAACATTCCAAAGAATATGGATAAAATCAAGGCTGGGAAGACAATGTACATAATCAACCCTTAAAACACAAAGTTACTGCAGATAATAATTTTATAGAAAAGTTTGACAAAATCTTTAAAATCAGTATGTTTAAGATGCTAAAAATAAATGAATATATAATACTCATAAATACTAAATTTGAAATACAAACAGGAAGATGTGAAATAGAAATAGATATACCAGTTCATGGTGGCCGTGTTCTGCTTCGCTAACGACTCAGGTGACTCACGTGTCACCTGAGGGTCATTCCTGCCCAGCAAGCCCCAGACCGGCTCAACAAGGCTTGTTCTTTCAACCAGTCCTCCAGCAGCTGGGCCCCGGTGGAAGGCAGTGCAGATATCTGTGAGTGTTGTGGCAACAGTGACTGTGACCTCATCCCAGGCTCCCCCATGAACCAGAACCATGCTGCCCGGTCCTCTCTGCGAAGCCGGAGGCACGTGATGGAAGAAGCAGACGTCACCGTGGGCCTGCTGATCTTCCTGGGGAAGGCTGGTGACCCTGCAGGCACAGAGGGGCTGGCCTCTGCTGCGCAGGCGACCCTGGTGCTGGGCTTCGGCCTGGCCACCATGGCGTTCCTGGCTGTGGCTGCTGTGGTCCTGGGCCTCACCAGGGGGCGCCATGCTGCTTCCCACCCCAGGTCTGCGTCCCAATAAAAAATCATTACTTACTCATTACCTAAATAATTGCCAATTCAATTCATCTTCCTAACTCCAGTGATAGCCACCCTGTAACCAATTAATCCTCCATTGTACTCTTAGATTGATCTTTTTTTTTTATTTTTATTTTTTTTTATTTTTTGACAGGCAGAGTGGACAGTGAGAGAGAGAGAGAGACAGAGAGAAAGGTCTTCCTTTGCCGTTGGTTCACCTTCCAATGGCCGCCACGGCCGGCACACCGTGCTGATCCAAAGCCAGGAGCCTGGTGCTTCTCCTGGTCTCCCATGGGGTGCAGGGCCCAAGCACTTGGGCCATCCTCCACTGCCTTCCCGGGCCACAGCAGAGAGCTGGCCTGGAAGAGGGGCAACCGGGACAGAATCCGGCGCCCCAACCGGGACTAGAACCCGGTGTGCCGGCGCCGCAGGCGCAGGATTAGCCTAGTGAGCCGCGGCGCGGGCCCTTAGATTGATCTTTGTACACAACAAATATCATAATGACTCCTGTCAGTTGAGAAACAGCTCTCCACTGATTTCAAAAAAGGCAAGAAGTTAAACATAAGAAATAATAATAAATAAATAGTATGTCAATTTCTGAGAAGAGAGTTTATAGATTTTAAGAGAATTTCAAAGGTGGCATATAACCAACATCACACTCAAAATTAAGAGCTGCTGGAGGACGGTGCCGCGGCTCACTAGGCTAATCCTCCACCTGCAGCACTGGCACCCCGGGTTCTAGTCCCGGTTAGGCCCTGGATTCCTTCCCGATTGCTGCTCTTCCAGTCCAGCTCTCTGCTGTGGCCCAGGAAGACAGTGGAGGATGGCCCAGGTCCTTGGGCCCTGCACCCGCATGGGAGACCAGGAGGAGGCACCTGGCTCTGGCTTCAGATCAGCACAGCCCCGGCCATGATGGCCATTTGCGGGGTGAACCAACAGAAGGAAGACCTTTCTCTCTGTCTCTCTCTCTGATTGTCTAACTGCCTGTCCAAAAAAAAAAAAAAAAAAAACTGCTGGAGAAAATATTCTGTTACATCATTTTAGCCCTAACATTGTAAGTTCTAAGTCTAGTGTTGTTTGTCAATTACAGATCACATTCTATTCACCCACTGAGTACTGGGACCCTCCACACCAGCGGTATCACCCTCTACATTAGTTAAAGAATAGCATAAGGACAAACCAAGGGTTTAGAAACTTTCTACATAATTGTACAGTCTCTGAAAATCTTTTCTCTCACTGTTTTGAAATATCTGTCATCTCCAATCCTTACCTTCCAGATTGAAAGTCTACATAGATTGAACTAATTGCATAATTTTTAAGTCTTCACTCTGTTGTGTAGATTTCCTCCCCACATCCTCCATCAATTTACCTTTCTGCTTCAATTTACTTGACATACTCCTTGCTCCTAAGTGTTCTGGAATCAAGACCGAGGTTGGACTTTCTAAAGTCAGTCTCATAATTTAGATTCCTTTTTTTCTTTCTTTCAGGAAAAGGAGCATCAAGTTGCTTATCCTGTGTGTGGAATTACCATCTCATGGGAGGAATCTGCAATTCAGACTGTCTTGTTGGGGAATACAGAGTGGGAGAGGTATTGGGAGCTGGCAGTGGTGTACCTTCCTCCTCCCTGGAGGCAAAAATGGGCTCAGTTCCTGCATTCAGGGCAGTCAAAAAGTCCTACAATTCCTACATTACTGACATTCAAGTTGGATATTTAGAGACATAATACATATTTTATAGATATTTATATGTCTAGATACTTATAGAGAGACCTTTAAAATAAATTAAATATACTTTATATGTCATACATTGCATTCCTTCTTCTGTGACTTCCAGAGTTACAGAAGTAAAGCACGAAGGTATCTTTCCTAACTCATGCTTCCAGCACTGTGCAAGAGGAAAGACACTTTGTTCCCTTCTTTTTACAAAGACATTTATCTGCATTAACTGCACAGTCACACTTAAATCCTTCTAGGGTAGGTAGGGGCACAAGAACCAAAGAATCACAGAAGCCAAGCAGGTAACAGCATAATGAGCGGAGGATACTGGGTCAAACATCACAATACAGACTTGATTGAAAGCGGAAGTTTACGAGTCACCTGTGTGTCAGTGACGAAACAGCAAGTGCTGGGGGTTGTGCCAACTAGGGGAGTACAAAAAGGGTGACATTGCCACTCAGCTCTCGCTGTGACACTGCCATGTGGGAGGGATGAATCTGGTGTTGACAAGACTTCCTGTTTGTAAAGAGAAATTAAGAACTGACTTACGTGTGAAATATCCCACTTTTGAAGTGTGGAGAATGAAAGCAAAATGTTTTAGACCGTGTAGGTCAACACAGTGTGGACTAGACAAAACCAGTCCTCGACTGTCCAGGAGCTACTGGGTTTGTAATTCAAGCTGTTTAGATGTCAGCCCTTTCACTATTGTCACTTGCAGGTCTGAGTCAGGGCCCAGCGATAGTTTCACCCAATTGCACAGTTGGTTCTGTCTTTCATTCAGCACAATTCAAAAGGACCCAGAATGCATCATCCCTCTGCTGTCCCCCACACACCTCCCTCCTGGGGTGACAAGATGGATCTGAGATCTCCAATGCCTTGTTAATCCTTGTTACTCAGAAGGGACTTCCCAACTGTTCTCGACAGGGAGAGAAATTTACCTGTGCAAAGTGTCACGAGAGCTGCATGGAATGCAAGGGACCTGGCGTCAAGAACTGCACCATGTGCCCTGCCAACCTGCTTCTGAACATGGACGACAACCGCTGCCTCCGGTGCTGTAACGCCTCCGATCCCACTGATGCCCATGAGTGCTGTGACTGCGAGGACACCACTGGTGAGGGCCGAGGAGAGCAGACTGCAGAGGAGGGCACATCCTCAAGAAGCTGCTAGGAACAGTGGAGGGGGGAGAGGGGTGGAAAATGTAGGAAAATCAGTAAGACTACCTTGTTATTGAGAGCCTGCTCTGTACCCATTGTACTTGAGACTTGAGGTCCATGACCTCACTTGGCAAGTTGATATCATCAACCCCATTTTACAGATGAGGAGACTGAGGTTCAAAGGGTTGGATTAGGATGCTCAAAACCACAGCAATATTAAGAGGTTCATTTGGTAGTAAATATGGGTCTTTTGGACTGAAAAACCCAAATAATTATTTCCACTGCTATACTACTTCCAAAATTAGAACCCAAGTAGGTCTAGAATTTTCATAAATTTACTTTGTTCCTTTAAAAATGCTTTGTTTCTGGATAAGAAAGACTGTCGAGGAAACAGAAGCCAATATTATTTGATTCTGTTAAAGAATCATTCTATGGAAATCAGCTCAAATCTAGGCCTCCCATTAGAGACTTACGGCATGTTAGAAATAAACTTCCGGCCGGCGCCGCAGCTCACTAGGCTAATCCTCCACCTTTCGGCACCGGCACCCCGGGTTCTAGTCCCGGTCGGGGCACTGGATTCTGTCCCCGTTGCCCCTCTTCAGACCAGCTCTCTGCTGTGGCCAGGGAGTGCAGTGGAGGATGGCCCAAGTGCTTGGGCCCTGCACCCCATGGGAGACCAGGAAAAGCACCTGGCTCCTGCCTTCGGATCAGCGCGGTGCACCGGCCGCAGCGCGCCGGCCGCGGTGGCCATTGGAGGGTGAACCAACGGCAAAGGAAGACCTTTCTCTCTGTCTCTCTCTCTCACTCTCCACTCTGCCTGTCCAAAGAAAGAAAGAAAGAAAGAAAGAAAGAAAGTTCCATTGAAAGCTTAGAACAAATTAATTCCCAGCCCCACAACTGTCTTCCACTTCCAACTTCATCCATGCAAATACTTGGCTCTCATTGGCCACAGACTTAGCAAGTTCCTGAATGAAGCAATCCCTTCTAAAAAGAAAAGAAAACAGATATTCTCGTACTGTATAACTAAGAGTGAATTTTTTAAAGATTTATTTATTTATTTGAAAGGCAGAGTTACAGAGAGACAGAGGCAGAGAGAGAGGTCTTCCATCTGCTAGTTCCTTCCCCAGATGGCCTAATGGCCGGAGCTGTGCTGATCCAAAGCCAGGAGCCAGGAGCTTATTCAGGGTCTCCCACATGGGTGCAGGGGCCCAAGAACTTGGGCCATCTTCTATTTCTTTCCCAGGCCATAGCAGAGAGCTGGATTGGAAGTGGAGCAGCCGGGTCTCAAACAGGTGCCCATAAGGGATGCCAGCACTGCAGGCGGCAACTTTACCTGCTACACCACAGCGCCGGCCCCAAAAACATATATTCTTAAAATACATTCTTATAGTCCAGAAGTAGATACTTCCCTTGTAGTCCAGATATATCACTAGCTAGCAAGATGAGACATAATATTTATGGGAGTCTGTCCAATTTTTAAGGAAACTAAATCCCAAACCTATAAGTTCTAATAGTCATTCTTATTGTAACTTTCTGAAAACTAATCCTTTCTTTGAGCTTTCCCACCTCCTGAGCAGCTGATTTCCCCAGCCCCTCATACACATCCACCTTCAGGGTCTAATAATAGTATCAGTGTCTTTAAAGGAAACCAGAAGTGTGTGCATATTGGGTGCAGAGTTTCTGAAAGCTTGTTCCGGCTAAGGACTATATAGCCTGCTTTCCTGGTCCCTTTGTGGCTCTTCACCCTGCACTTACATGGGAGACCCTGAAGAAACTCCTGGCTTCTGGTTTCAGCTTGGCCCAGCCCCAGTCTTTGCGATCATTTGGGGGAGTGACCCAGCAGATGGAAGATCTCTCTCTCTCTCTATCTCTGTCTATCTAAGTCTTCCTTTCAAGTAAATAAAATGAATCATAAAAAAAAAAAAAGATTGCAGGGGCTGGCGTGTAGGTGTGTGGGTGTGTGAGTGCTGGTTGGAGTCCTGACTGCTCTGTTTCTGATCCACCTCCTTGCTAGTGTGCCTAGAAAAGCAGTGGAAGATTATCCAAGTCCTTGGGCCACTGCCACCCATGTAGGAGACCTGGACGGAGCTCTTGGCTTCACCCTGGCCCAGTCCTGGCTGTTGCGGCCTTTTGGGGAGTGAACCAACAGATGGAAGATCTCCCTCTCTCTGTTCCTCTCTCTGGGTATCACTCTACCTTTCAAATAAATAAAATAAATAAATATATTTTTTAAATACCAGGGCTGGCATCGTGGCCCAGTGGGTTAAGGCACCACCTGTGATGCCAACATGCTATATGAATACCAGTTCAAGTCCTGTTCAATTAGCTTGTTGCTAATGCACCTGGGAAGGCAACGGAAGCTGGCCCAAGTCCTTGGGCCCCTGCCAGTCATGTGAGAGAGCCAGAGAGAGTTCCTGCTCCTGGCTTTGGCATGACCCAGCTCTGGCACTTGAGGCTGTTCTCCCTTTCAAATATGTCAGATAAATAAATTTTTTAAACAAACAGATTGCAGAGCCTGACACTGACTGTACAGATCTAAGATGGAGAGTTGTAAGACAAGATCGTGTAGGGGACCCTGGTGACTGAGACAACCTGGAAAGGTCCAGTAATGGTCCTCCTGCTTCAGGTAGTAATTATCTCAAAGCACAAGTAATTGCTATCTGTCCCTCCTGTGTGTTACTGTTTCCTCCAAGGAAAACTTCTGTGCTAATATTGCTAATGATGAATGCAATAATGATGGTCAAAAAATAGGAGAAAAAATTTAGGTATATCACTCAAATCAGACAACCTAAATAATGAGTGAAAAGTAAGAGAAATGACTGGCAGGGGCCCAAGGACTACACCAAAGCTGTAGTCCTGCAGCACTGTTTTGGCTATTACATGTTCTCTGTCAGGCATCAGAACAGAAGCTGCTGAATGAGAGGAAACCAGGCTCTCGAGTTCAGAAGCCTTGACATCCCCTATCAATCAATAAATCAATCTGGATTCAAAGACAGTGCTTCTATCCCTGCCAGACTAGGGCCACTAAACTCCAGGAGCCAAAACATGGTTATCAGAGCATCTTGACATCTTTCTCTAGACTCCTGCATTGAGTTATGATTCCTGGGTTTGATTTTCTTTTCTGGATTCAAATTCTGGCTTCTCCACAAACAAGGTCTGATCTCCGACAATGTGACAATCC